CGTAATGCAGAGGACAGGTCCAGGAAAACAAAACCAAGTTGTCTTCTTGCTGTTCTGTCCTGTTCCTAACAGGCAGCAGGTTACTGTGGCCCTATGCAGCCCCAAAAGTAGTGAAGGAAGCAAGTCCAAGTCTGTAAAACTAGAGGGTCAATGCAATGGCTTTGGCTGTTGTGTTCAATACAGCATTGGAAACAACTGGAATGTCTCGGGCAACTCTCTGAAAGGGTGGCATGTTGGGTCCTTCCAATGTGTCCAAGATACCTGGAGAACAGAAAAAAAGGGGAGAGGCAAGAGTCAGTTCAGATGATAGCAGATGGCACATTTCCTCTTGCTTTTCTCTCTGTCCAGGTAGTGGTTGAGGGTGGCAGGGCCCAGAACAGGCAAAGCACTTGTAGGCAATGGGAGGAGACATCTAGCCCCAAAGACTGAATAGAGTAAACACTTCCATCCAGAGACCAGAGGGTACACATCAGAGCTTGTGCTCAGGGCAGAAAAACTGCATGTTCCCAAAAGGAACACAGACCCTTTTGCTTTGAGTGTCAGATCCGGTCCCCTGCCATTTGACCTGAATGCAGGTACTGCCAGAGATGTTGCTCTGCTGAAGGAAATTGATAAAATCCTGTTTCTACTTCATCCCAGCACAGATCTTGCTGTTAGTCCAAGACTCACTTTCATCCTGAAATACACTTGCAGACTCACATCAGGAGCTGCAGCTGTGCTGCAATGTGGAATTTCTGTCACTGCAATGCAAACAGACCATGCTTGGCAGGAAATACACAGACCAATGCAAATGTCCTCAAGTCTCTGTCAATTACCCTCTCAAGACTGATAATCAGTTTTGGAGTGCTTTGAGAAAATTGCTTGGAGTATATTTTATTCTATTTCATCTGCCAAAAAGCTGCAGATCAGAACCTTTGCCATAAGTAGAGATTCAGGAAAGACAAGATTTATATCCAAAAGGACTTGTAATGCTATTATGCTAATTATGCAGCTTTATCAGAAAAAACACGAATGGGTCTGGCTGCCTAAACTCAGAGAAGAGACTTGCAGAATTGCATATTTAGGGATATTTAGAGACCTGGAAACTCTCTAGAGATGGGGTGGGAGAAGAGTTTTGTTTTTTGTTTGTTTTTTTTTTTAAGGAGGCTGAGACTTTGTTAGGAGAAAACAAGAAGAGATGGAAAAAGGACATAAATATGCATAGCATGGTTAACAGTACCAGATGGGGAAGATACAGCTTCTGCTATCTGTGCTATACAACACAAGATACAAAAAGATGCTGAACAAAGAAGGAAAACACTTATGACACATTTCGTGATCAGAGAAAAGCAACCTGACTTCAACAATATTCAGAAAGGGGCTGGACATCTGCATGCAAGAACAGTCAGTACTGTTACACTTCACTTGTGGGGAAATAATTAGGGTCCTGCCTCACAAACTGGGTCTTACGTGCTAAAACTCAGTGCACAGTAACTACCCCCATGTTTACCTGCTGCCCTACTTGACCAGCTTCTTCCAAAAAGCTAGTGGTAGTGATTTCAGAGCTGGAAACTGGCACACATGCCCAAAGGACAGATTCAAACTGTCCATCCTTTCTCTCAGAGAGAGAAAAAACAACTTCTCTTCCCCCAAATCTAACAGGATGTCTTTGTATCTCCCTTGCTTACCTTCTACCACCTTGTGATAAGCAAAGTGCAGATAGAGGAGGAAAAGCATATGCAGAGCAGCAAGAGTCCCACAGAGGATGAGCCGCTGGGTATGTCCCACGGTGCGTGACACCAGCACAGCGACCTAGGAGAGAGGAGGTGATCACAGACAGGGCACCTGCTACCCGAGCCTCTGGCACTGCAGTCAGGAACACATGGGAGAACAGGTCAGGCAGTGAGAATCTGCAGGAACACTGCACTAAGTCTTTTTTGCAGTTTTGACCAACAAATCTGGAGTAATCTGGCACTGTTTTGTGTAGGTGAACCTTGCCCAGTCTTGCCAAGAGTTCAGGATGCTCAGGCATGGCTCTCCAGAGCAGCAAGAGCTGTAGGAGAGTAAATGAACCTCCTGCAGCTGTTAGAGTGGATGAGGATATTAATCCAAGCAGCACCTCCACACACCAGTGGCCAAATTATGCAGGAGCATAATTTTTTCCACAGCAGTTTGACGGGCTGTGAAATGAACCACCAGGCCAAGGAGCAGAAAGCAAACACCACTTCCCTCCCTTTTTCTGCCCCAGGAAGAGAAGGACCCCAGGCTGCCTGTCTCTTACCATTCGTAGTGTAGAGAGTCCACCAACGACCAACCAGAAGATATAGAAGAGGGAGTGGAAGTGGATATTATAGGTGACAAAGAGAGTGATGCAGTGTCCGAAAAGGCCGTAGCCCTGGCAAAACAAAAATGTCCATGTTGCAAGCACCAGTCCCACACAAAGGACCACTGATCAAGAGCACGAACAGCCTATTCCTGCAACACTTCACCATGGCAAAGCCTCACAAACCACTCATTCACTGCCACAGTCAACCAGAACAACAACTTCAACTGCTCACACACAGATTATCTGTCTGAAGGATTCACAGGCATGTCAGAGATTGCGACAATGTGGGAAACAAAGGAAAGATTCTCCAATCCCAGAGAAATTGGAGTCTCCTGGCTTTTTACCACCAGGTTTTCAAATCAGGAAGTGCAAAGCAGGACACCTGCACAAAGGAACTGCCTCTTTGTACTATCGCCGTGCCAGGGATGGGGCAGGTCAGAAAAACATCCTGGAATTCCATGTTGTCCCAGGGCAGTTACCTGCAGTTACCAGCAGTTTAGAAAGACTTTTCCTGTTCTTTGTGAAAAGTTTGTTCTGGAACACCATACAGCCAATGTGCATCACAGGGCAGCTCCATGAGTACATACCAACAGTGACAGCATCTGCACCATCGTGATTTGGGCATTGCACAGATATGCCAGGAAATACATGAAAGATGAGACGCCCAGCCAGTAACCGAAGCAGGTGCCAATGGCTGTGCCCATCAGCGTGCCTTCCCTCTGTGGAGACAGTGTCAGGATGAGGAGAACTCAAAGGAATGACCTGCCAGCACCCAAATTAACCCCTGAGAGTCCCAGACACTTTGTAGGAATTATCAAATAGGTAGCCAGCAGCATTCAGGGGGCCACAGGACCTACACCCCAAGCTCTCCCCGCAGCAGAGTGTCAGGGCTTTCTGTTACATCCTACTTCCCACCCCCAAACAAACATCCTCAAATCAATCTGCTTTTCAGCAAGATGCTTATTCAGTTATAGAAGAGGTTTCCTCTCCTTTTCTAGTGTCACTACAGCAACCCAGAGCCCAGTCAAACCACCACTTATCACTGAAACTCGACGTACAATGATGGTGTCTGAGGTCTTCATTCCATGCAAAAGAATGGCCACCAGTGTGAAAACCAGCATGAGGGGTCCATACAGCTCGCCTGCAATCTTCTACAGGAGGAGACAGGTGAGGGAAAGTTTGGTTAGAGCCCCTGAATATCAGGCTCCCCACCACAGGTGATGTAAGAAGTGCACTGGATGGAGTCTATCACCAGGTTATCACCTGAGGTTAGGTGACAGCTCACTGAGGTTTGGAACAACCATGGAAAGGAGCCACCAACATTTTCAGGGAGAAGAACACCTAACAAACTCAGTCCTTAATAACATGGATTATTACAAGTTTTACCAGGTGTCTGTGGGACAGTCACTTGGCCATGGAGTCTGATTCAGCAAAAGGGAACTTACCTGTGGGAAATTAATCATCTTCACAGGAATCATGGACTCCAGCAGTCTGCATCACAGGAAAACAGGGAATGACAACAGGAGCAGGAAGAACAACAGGACAGTTAACAAAATGCTTCATAAGTAAAAGATACCATATACCCATTACCAGTGTTTGCTTTGTGTTGACAGGCCTTGAGGGACAGAGGATTCTCTCTGAAGGGTGAGTCAAGGCCGCTAAAGAAAGAAAACATTACTGTCCGTGGGTTAACTTTGCTGAGGAGGGGCAGATTCAGTGTTTAGGAACCCACTCAGGGATGAGAGATCATTGACAGAACAGCAGAAAGGAAAGGTAATTTTCCTCATAAAGGCTCACAAAACTTTGCCTTGTTGGATACAACTGTGTTGCAAACCCAACAGAAGCCACGTAAGGCAGCCAGGTACGAAAAGAGCCCTTTCTCCTGCCCTAAGCAGCAATGCCAGGTGACAGGGCTGCCAGCCCAACCACAGGAGCTCACTAAGGCGAGCAGGACAACGCACAATGTGTGTGCCCATAGGTGAGTCTTCCTGCAGGGCTGACAGCCCACTGCTACTTGCTCGCTTGGAGCCGACAGCCAGACCCCTGCAGGCACGGAGCCTCCCCGCGCCGGGGCTGCCCACCTGGCTCGCACTTGGACGGGCTCCACATCGAAGTAGGGCCGGAGGATGTCGATGTTGGCGTAGAGGCTGAAGGCCCTGGAGGCTTGTCTCTTCCCCACCTGCCACATCTGCGGAGAGAAGGGAGCGGGCAGCGGCCGGGCGGGCAGGCAGGGACCCCGGGGCCGGGGACGGCCGGGGGACAGCGCTCACCTGGTCAGCGACCTGCCGGCCCAGCTGCCCCCGCAGCCCCTTCATGCCCAGGAACTCCCCGTCCTCCTCCTCGCCGGCGCCCGCCTCGCCCTCCGCCTCCTCCTCCTCCTCCTCCTTCATGCGCTGGTGCATCTCCCCCATGTCCTCGAAGCTGGAGCCCGACGTGTCGTCCATGTTCTCCATGTCGATGACGGCGGAGCCGCCACCCTGCGCCGGGGCAGACACGGTGTCAGCACCCGCTCGGCCCGGCCCCGCCGCCCCGCCGCCGCCCCCGGCCCGGCCCCACCTGCATGTTGTCCTCGAAGCCGCCCCATTCGGCAGCGGGGGCACCGCTTCTGCCGCCGCCCGCCGCCCCCGGCGCGGCCATAGTGCCCGTCCCGGCCCCGCCGCGCTGGCCCGGATGGGCGGGAGCCGGATGTGACGGCAGCCGCGGAGCCGCTCGCAGGCCCGGGAGCGCCGCCCATCGCCCTCATGGCGGCCCGGCGGGGCACTGACGAGATGCGGGACCGCGTGGTGCTGGGCGAGTTCGGCGTCCGCAACGTGAGCGAGCCCCGCGGGGCGGGACGGGGGACGGCCGGCGCCCGCACCCCCTCACGGCCCCGCCTGTGCCCTGTTCCCGCAGGTCCACACCACCGACTTCCCCGGGAACTACCCCGGCTACGAGGACGCCTGGGACCAGCGGCGCTTCGAGGAGGTGGGTGAGCGGGCCGCGCCGGGGCTGCGGGGGGCGGGCTCGGGCCCTGCTGACCCGCCGTGCGCCGCTCCCGCAGGCGTTCCGCGTGGACGTGATCCGTGAGGAAGAGGACACCCTGGAGTTCGACATGGTGGGCATCGACGCCGCCATCGCCAACGCCTTCCGCCGCATCCTGCTCGCCGAGGTACCCGTGCTCACCTGGCGGTGCCGCCTAAGACTGGCTCCTCAGGGAGCCTGGAATGTCCAGCCTTGCCAGCCCTTGCGGACAGCTGCGGGTTTTGGAAGAGAAGCACACGTTCGTTCCACACGTGTGCCAGGAGCCCAGAGAGAATTAGGGCTTCAGGAGCATGGGCGATACCGCCTACTGCTCCTAGGTGCTGTTGGTGGTGTCTGCGGGTCAGCCTTTTCGACACAGTTGTGTTGCCAGCCCAGCAGAAGCCATGTAATGCTACCAAATGCTAAAAAGTTGAGGATGCCCCAAAGCCCTTTCTCCTGCCCTTCACCTCTTGCGATTGATTGTTTAAAAAAATGGGGATGGGATTAGATGGGGTGTAAGGGTATATTGCATGGCCTGATTTGGCAGAAATACCACTCAAAATAGTCTGCATGGCAGTTATTTGTGGGAGAGGAGGGACACTTGAGCTGGATAATCTCTCGGCATGTAGTTGAGCTCTTGTCTTAGGCTGACTTGATCTCTTGTCTCCCTGAGGTGCCAACGATGGCTGTAGAGAAGGTCTTTGTGTACAACAACACATCCATTGTGCAGGATGAAATTCTGGCTCATAGGCTGGGCCTCATCCCTATCCGAGCTGACCCACGGCTCTTTGAGTACAGAAACCAAGGTGAGACTCTTGAACAGAATAGAAATATTGAAGGTTTGTCTCAAAGTAGGAAATCATGGTCATGTAAACTGAGCAGAAGTGTGATTTCATATGCTTCTTCCCAGGAGATCAGGAAGGAACTGAAATTGATACTCTGCAATTTCAGCTGAAAATCAAATGCAAACGAAACCCTCATGCTGCCAAGGAATCATCTGATCCTGATGAACTATATTTCAATCATAAAGGTGAGATTGCTCCTAAAAATAGGTGCTGTTTTTTCTTTTTGGTCTTGGAAGACAGGACCTGGGCTGTTTTTTCAGCCCTATGTGCTCACAGGGAGAGTTGATTCCATTCTGCTAAACTTACTTTTCGCTATCTCCAGTCCTGTACAAGTGAGTGACCTGCTTTGAGGCAGCAGCTGGCTGATGCTTGTGGCTTCTCTTTGCAGTGTACAGTAAGCACATGACATGGGTGCCCCTGGGGAATCAGACAGACCTTTTTCCAGATGCTGACTTCCGACCGGTTCACGATGACATCCTCATTGCACTGTTGCGACCTGGGCAGGAAATAGATGTGCTTATGCACTGTGTCAAGGGTATAGGTGAGTCATGGCTCCTGGGGCAGTGGGACAAGCAATGGGAATGCTGGGACGAGGGCACTGCGCTGTGATGGGGAAGGGTGGAGAACTGGCTTTTCCCCTGGAACTTCAGGCCCCAGCATCCTTGTTCCCTGAGGCCTGCTCTCATCCTTGACTCTTAACTCTTCATACAGGTAAGGATCACGCCAAGTTCTCACCTGTGGCCACAGCCAGTTATCGACTGCTTCCTGACATTACTCTCCTGCAGCCCATTGAGGATGAGGCAGCTGAGACGTTGCAGAAGTGCTTTTCCCCTGGGGTCATTGAGATCCAGAATATCAATGGTACTTTTTTCCTGTGCTAAGTGCCTTGTTCCTTGCAAGCTTTAGTACAGACCAACTGGAGCTTAGAGCCAAACTTCGCAGAGACAAAACCACATCATGATGTTGCCTTGCTGGTCAATGGTTCATGCTCTTCTGAGCCTGGTTTTATGGAGTGGCTGCCACATGCAGATGTGTTGAGTGATGAACAGGGATGTCCCTGAAATAAATTGGATTCCTGTCCACAGAGCTGTGCAGCTGCTGACTGCAGCTTCCAGTGCTGTTCAGTTGTGACACTGGGTAGTGAGCTTGCTAGTGAGCTGGACAAGCAGCTGAGTGTGGAGACTTCTTGTGTCCTTCCAGGGGTGCACGTAGGCTTTGTGTTTGGGTTTTCCTGCCAGGTTGGAGTTTCATGTTGGGCATATGCTAATTCTTTATATTGATGTGTCTCACCCTTTGGTGAGGGGGGAGTACCTGTTTGAGGTAAGCATGTGACCATAAGGCACCCACCTGCTGCACTTTCCCCATCTCGTTTCATCTCCCCTATAGGAAAAAAGGTGGCAAGAGTAGCCAATGCACGGCTGGACACATTCAGCAGAGAAGTTTTCCGACATGAGGGTCTGAAAAACCTCGTGCGCCTGGCAAGAGTACGGAACCATTACATCTGTAAGTGCCCCGTTTTCCACAGAGTCCTGACATGGTTTGGCTGAACAAGCAGTGACTGGCCAGCATGTGTGGCTGGCTCTGTGCCTCTTCCCGCCCTCAGCATCCATATGTTCAGAATGTGGTGGGTAACTCCTTGCTTTGGGATTGAATCTGTTGGTGCTTCCTGCTGGCAAAGGTAGCCGCTTCTGTGAAGATGTGGCTTGTTGCTGTGAGGTGTAAGGGAAGGGGAGGGGCAGCAGCATGGAGCCAGGTCCGTGGAGGCTGAGGCTGCCTCGTGGCTGTGCTCACTTGTGTCTGTGTCTCTCTGCAGTTTCCGTGGAGTCGACGGGTATCTTGCCTCCAGATGTGCTGGTGAGTGAAGCCATCAAGATCCTGATGGGAAAGTGTCAGCGCTTCCTCAATGAGCTGGACTCTGTGTCTATGGAGTGACTAGGCTGTTGGGAAAGCAGAAACCTGCACTGCTGTTCTGGGCTTCCTGCACCTGCCTTTAGGGAGAATTCCTCTTCCATAGGCAGGGGTTTGCTCAGAGTCCAAGGACTGTCTCTGGATTTTTCTGTTGGTAATGAGCCGTAGTGAGAGGATGCACTAAAATAAAGGCTTTTTTTTTTTTTTTTTTAAAAGCTGTCTCCTGTGCCATTCACAATTGTGAAACCATAATACATGGAGAAGAAGGTGGCAGCGTGTCTAAAGATGAGTAACAGCATTCATTTTAGATGGTATGCAGTGAGGAGGACTGATAGGGCAGCGCAGTAAAGCACTTCACAGCACGTCAGTGAGGTTTAACGAGTTGCTGTCCGGGCATGGCTGGTTTGGGTGTTTCAGACCAGCTCAGGGATAGTTAATATGATAGAGAAAAGGCTGTACTGTCAGAGGACTGGAACATCTACCCTATGAAGAAACTGAGAGAGCTGGGATTGTTCAGCCTGGAGAACAAGAAAGCTCCCGGGAAACCCTATTCTGGCCTTTCAGTATATAAAGGGGGCATGGAGAAAGACTTTACCAGGGTCTATAGTGACAGGCTGAGGGCCAACAGTTTTGAACTGGAAGAAGGTAGACTTATATTGAACATTAGGTATTTTTTACAATGAGGGTAGAGGTAAGTTGTCACAGGTTGCCTAGCGCTGGGAATGCCCCATCCCTGGAAGTGTTCAAGGCCAGATTAGATGGGGCCTTGAGCAACATGGTTGAGTGTTAAGAGTTGAAAATGTCTGGGAGTATTGGTGTGTCCCAGTTGCTGAAGTCAATGTACATTTTAGTGCTAGACCTCAGCAAGTAAGCAGAATGAAAATTTGTTTCCTTGGGGCAGAATTACTTAGAATGTAAACATCCTGTTAGAGTGAACATGCTGCAGGGAGGAGGTACACTTGGCATCCTGGCTCCAGCCCCAGCCTGCCCCATGCCATGCTGCAGACCCAGGCATATGCTGCATGTGCCTATGACACATTATCTCTATCTGTCTGTCTGTCTGTCTGTCTATCTATCTATCTATCTATCTATCTATCTATCTATTTCTCTGTGCTATTGCTTCACATGCTTATGGGACAGACCCTTGAAAAGCCTAAGGGTTTTGCTTTGACAGCACATACCCTCAAGCTGTAAGCTGGGACCTAGAATTAAAATAAATGAGCAGTGACAAATAAATACTTCAAAAATACAGTTTCTCCCTCACCTAATTAAACTATATAGTCTGGAATGGTTCATCCCCTCCCTGTCAGTGTACTAACCACCAGCAAAGGTGCCCCCTTTTTGGTAGCTGGAATAAGGAATACTGAGAAATCTCCAGGCAGGCAGTCTGGTCAGACCAGAGGCCTCATATCTTACTGAAACAGATAAAAGAATAAAAATGAAACAAGACACCACATGTATGAAACTGGAATAGCTTTACTGACATTCAGGTGTAACACAACCAGTTCAGAGACAGCTTCGGATTTAAACGTTCCTACAAAAAAGGTTTAAAATCCATTTTACAAAAACCCCTTGTGTCTAGCATGAAGTCACAGAATGTTAAAAATATCACAACACAATAAATACACCCAGCCTTTGCTAGAGCTAGGAGCCATGTTAGCTCAGAGGTTAAAAAAGTTTGAGGCTAGGAAGAAAGTGGAGGGTGCTGGTGGAACAGCAGGGGCAGGAGGGTGAGTGGATGCCCAAGGCCTGCTCTTCCTATCTGCACTCCCTCACCTCCCAACCCCAGCCTTTTATCCAGTCTGTCCATGTGGAGACATCACTTCTCCACCTACCACAGTTTATTATTTGCTCTGTCTCCTGGATGGCAAAGCTGCCAGCTAGCTCTGGACAGACCCTCCTAGCTCCTGCGCTAACTCTAGGGTAGATTGTGTAGTATTTGTCATGTAAGAAGAACCAGCTTTGCAGACTGGAGTGGCTTCATAAGAGTCCCACCACATCTAAAACCCAGTTTCTGACCTGGCTCCCCCTGTAAACTGCAGTATAAAGCCCACCCCTCCTGCCCCACCATGCCATTCTCTGGGAAGTACCTGACTGGGTAAAAACAGGGGCTACTGTCACCTCCATTGCAACAGGGCAAGGAGATCCCTTTTGGATGGCAGGTGCTTCAGGTATTGGTCCAGATTTTATTTACCCTGCGCTGGCCAAGTTCTAGTCTACAGGGCATGGAAAAATGAAAAAAAAAAAAAATTAAGAAAAAAATATGTCCTGCTCCCCCTGAGAGATGTCCAAGAAAGGCTGGCACAAAGTAAAAGCCTTCCATTTGGCTCTGGGTAGAACAAGCTGTATGATCGTATCTATACATACATATGTATATATATGACAGTGTCTGCCTCTTTCTAGAGAGCAGTTGCACCTTAGAAAGGCTGATCTCACAGGAGATCCTAGAGCACTGCTAGGCTTCCTGGCACGCAGCCCTCAGCCCAAGGCTCAGCATCCTGGAGGGAAACTGATTCAGCAGAATTCCAGTCCACTAGGGACAAGTGCTGATAAGCATGACAGGAGTGTCCAATGTGTTCCCTACAAAGCCTGGCTACTAGCACCCAGAGGAAGATTAGATTAGGGCAGCCCCTTTTCACATGGCACACTACTCTGCCTTTTGCATTAATCCTAAACCCCAAGGGCTGAAGAGGAGCAAGAGTGACCCGAGGCTACAATATGATCAGGCTTTACCCTAAAGAGGTCTATGGACTCAGCTCCCACCTTGCAGAGAAGCAGAGGTCTAAAGATGCTCATCCAATGGAGGGAAGGAGTCACGGGAAGAGCTTAATATTGACTGGTTCAAATGCCACCGCAGGCCCCATCCCAGCGTATGGAAGAGAAGGGGACAGGACCCGTAAGGGGCTTTATTCAGACGAATGCTTATGGAGGCAGTGACAAGGAGAATCTAATGTGCTTACTATGAGGAGAGACAAATTATAAGGTAGGGGAGGAGATGGTTGCAGCATCCCAGGCTCAGGGTTCAAAGAGAACATTGAAGCCCTCTCCATCCTCATTTTCTAGCACATCTGTCTCCAGTGATGGCTTCACCTTTTTGAAGAGAGACGGAAGGTTCCGGATATGAACCTCCTTGCGGAACTGCTCCCCGATGGGCTTCTGCAGAGGACAGAAGGCAGGCATCAATCATTACTGTCTTCATACCCCCACACAGCTCAGGGGCAGCTTGCTTGCACATCAGAGGCAGACCCCAGGTTCTGAGCAATCCCTAGGCCTGGACCCTGTGCTTGCATTTTGAGGAATTTCAGGCCTGGCCTCTCCCAAATGCCAGGGCACTGAGGTAACCTTTAGAATACCAGCTCCCCAGCTTCTAATTCAATGTCAAAGGCTCCACCACCACCATCCTCACAGAAGTCCAATGTCCACCCAGCAGCTTCAACCACACATTTTAACACGCTGTTTTCCCGGGCACCCTTGTGCAAGGTACCCGCTGCCTCTCAGTCAGAGGCCATTGCTGGAGGGACTGCTCAGTCTGCTGGACCTCCAGGGTGAAAAGAGGCAGAACAAACACCAAGAACATGCTGCAAGAGCCTTCTGGCTCGGAATGGGGGTGGTTGGTGAGAGGAGGCAGGCCAGCTACCCCATCACTTCTGCAGCATACAGCTGTGAAATTTTCCTCCAGGATATCACTTACCCCAATGCAACCTGAGATGAGGCGCTTGAAGTGATCCTTCCGGCGCTTGTCTGCCACTTTTTGCAGCGTTGGGTTGAGAAGCTTTGAATCAAACTGCTCCAAAGAGTCCAGCTGGATGTCTGGGATCTGCTCCATCACTGCCTTCAGCTCACCATAGCGAGGGCGCTGCAGGACAAGTACCATTAACACAGCTCTGCTAGAGTAACAGCCTTGCCCTCACTGGGGGCCTTTAACTCCTCTGCCCCTACCCACTAGGCATGGGATTACTTTTCACCATTCCCCTCACATGCCTCAACCTCACATTTGGATGAAGAACAGAGTTTCTCACCAAGGCCTCGTAGATCTGGAAAGCCAGGTGGACAAGAGCTGCCATGCAGCCATCGTGCTGCCCGTGTACCTGTAAGCCCTTGAGCACACTTGTGAAAAACCAGGACACAGCATCGGGAAGGAGGTTTCCTGGAAGCACCTGGGGAAGAAGCACTGTCAGCACTGAAGCAAGATACTGGTGGTACATAACCACCTTTCTGCAACAGTTTGCTCTTCCTGAGGGAGAAGGTGCCCAGGGGTGAAGCAGCCACACTTCTCAGAGCATTCAGAGCTTCCTCTTCCAACCCTGCCAGAACTAATCCCTTCTTCCTCCCAGAGGTACCTGTTTGAGCAGTGGCCAGCAAAGCTGTGTTGTGGTTCTTTGGCAGGACAAGGTGTCCTTCCAGGACAGGGATGTGTAGGCAGTGATCAGCACTGCAGTGCAAACATCCTGAAAAGGAGTCAGAGAGGAAAACCAGTCAGAGGAACTATTTTCTACTTCCAGCATTCAAACCTGATGGGAGCCAAGAAGCAATCCAGAGAATCTGCAGGAGCTTCTGAGAATCCTGCATGTTACTGCTGCTCTAGCAAAAGGTGTTCACCCAGTGTGCACCATCAGAACCATGAGGGACCAGTGCTAACCTGCTCCTTTCATCTCCCTGGGAAAGCTCCTGGAGCACTCAGGGACTTCCCTCAGCTGCTACTCTCAAGTCACTACAAAAGCTTCTACAAGAGCTTCTGAGGCATCCACAGCAGAGAGTACAGAAAAAAAAGAAAGCTGGATGAAAACTGTGGCCCAGGATGAAGGCAGAGCCAGGGAGCACTCTGGGGGCTGCATATGCAGGGCCTCTTCCCCAGAAGGGCTGAAGCTCTGCAGCTGTGTCTCATAACTGGATCCCAACCCCCATTTGCTTTGTGGATTCTGCAAGGCCCTTAAAAGCCATGTATGTTCCTAAGAGGTGATTCCCACATGGGGAACGCTCCAGCAGCCTAGATCTCTGCAGCAGTGTCTGGCTGCTGGGCAGACAAGTGTAACAAAGAGTACAGAGAAAGGATGGTGGCAGTGAGAGCACATGCACTTACCTCTTGCTTCATCAGACACTTGCCAAGCTCGGTGAGCTCTGCGTTGGCAGGGGGAGTCACCTCCGTGGCCATCGCCTCATCATCTGCAGAGCAAAGGCTGCACTGTGAATGTGGCCTCCCAAGGACTGGGGGGGGACACAAGGAGGCTGCAAGAACTAAGCTGGGAGCCAGGAGACAGCACACAGGATCAGTGTCCTGGCACAGCTTACCCAGAACACCTCTTTTCAAGCAAAAAGCACCCACCCTTTGTGGGGCAGGAGGGGCATGCAACTGGCTACCTCCAGCTTTTGGGAAACTGTTCATATCGCCCTCTGCTACTCATCTTACTTCTCAGAACATTAAGAACCTTAAAAACCAGCTGCTCCAATATGCCACCTGTGAACCCTACAGCACATTTGTTTCCAGGCTAGACTGGGTTTTTCTGTGGCCCCCAAGGCACGCTGGGCAGGACAGAGCTGAAGGCTTCTTTCCAAACCTATACCCCTTACACAGGACTTTCAGCATCAGCCCAGCCTCCCCCTCAAGAAACAGGAAAGGAACAGTGTTTGTGTACACCAAGGGCAGGAATGGCAAAGCAGGCACCTACTTACCATCTCCATCTACAGCAGCAGTAGTGTTCTGTTCAACACCTTTCTTAGAAACACAGCAAACAGCTGCAAAAACAGTTGCAGGTCAGAGGAGCAGAAAAGGGAAGATGCTACTGCAGAACATGCAGAGATTATCCTACAGACTCTGATGGGCTCACAGCTGCTTCAAGCTCCCCCAGCTCTTACAGGGAATCTGAAGAACCAGAAAGCCCAGTATAAAAGCTCAATACTGCACTACCTGCAAGGCTGTAACACCCCACCCACAGCACCTTCCCACAGTGAACCTGCTGCACAGTGCTTGCTTCCTACTACTGAGAACCAGGAATGTGCAAAACCACCTGAAGAACACTGATATACACTGAATAACCCAAGAACACTGATTTAAAGCAAAAAGGCCAGTGAAGAAAGGTGGCAGAAGATTGAGATCTGTAATCTCCATGGAATCAATTTCCCCAGCCTTCCTGTACAAAGCCATGCTGACACAAACATTATGCTGGAGAAGGGCAACAGAAGGAAGGCTGCTTTGGGGAATGGACTGCTCCCT